GCGGAGTGCAACCTGAGCCTGTGCCCGCTACACAACCACAATCTGAACCATTTGTTATTCCTCCCAGCCAGACCACGTTACCATTTGTTATTCCTTCAATGCAAACCACGTTTGAGGGAATTGTCAACCCGCAATATGCTTATACTCAAAATCCTCCATTCTATCCTCCTTATGGGCAAGGGTTTCAGCCTCAAATCGACCCAAACATGCATCAGAACCCACCAGCTTTTTATCAAACCACCGCATAACCCGTGATACCGGAGCACACTTTCCAAAATAAGCCTGAAATGGGTGAATCTTCTGCTCCAATTGATATGAAGTTGCTCAAACGTCTAGATCGTTTCGATGAATTTATAAGGAAGAGCCAGGGGTTGCATAAGCAGGGAGTCCTGGATTATGATGAATTGTGCCTTTTTCCGAACGTGCAGTTGCCTGAGGGGTTCAAAACCCCTAAATTTAACAAATATGATGGGATGGGTAATCCCAAGACACATCTCCGACTATTTGCCAACAAATTGGGAAAGCCCGTGGACGATGAGAATTCGCCTTTCAGGTTGTTCCCCGAGAGTCTGGAAGGGGATGCGCTTGACTGGTATTCTAACCTGAAACTTGAAGACGTGAAAACCTGGATTGATTTGTCTAATGCATTTGTGAGACAGTACGAGTACAACTGCGAGTTGGCTCCGACCCGAACTACGTTAGAAGGAACGAAAAGGAAGCCTTCCGAGGACCACAAGACCTATGCCAAGAGGTGGAGAAAAATAGCTGCCAAGGTCGAGCCACCAATGACCGAGGATGAAATCATACGTACTTTCATAAAAGCCCATGATCCGCCGTACTTCGAAGAGATTTTCCGTATGACCGGATGTTCGTTTGCTGCAATTGTAAATAAACTTGAGGAGTTTGATGACTTTGTGAGAGCTGGAAAGATTGTCAATGTTTCCGCCCTTAAATCTCAGTTGGATGCTTTACAAGGTCAAGGAAGCAATGTGAAAAAGCCGCCGTTCAAAAAGAAAGAGGGGGATGCAACATTTATTTGGAACCACAACCCTTCACCCCGACCTCGATACCAACATAACCCAACCTACCAACAAATATTTTCTCAATCAATTACAGTCAGCACATAAGCTTCAATTACTCTTTCATTTGCTTACATAACGACTAAGTAACCTATAAAGATGAGTCTATTTCAAAAAGTACCACCGGGTTTAATGGACTTTTATTACTTTGCTGAGATATCAATAAGTAACCTATAAAGATGAGTCTATTTCAATTACTCTTTCATTTGCTTACATAACGACTAAGTAACCTATAAAGATGAGTCTATTTCAAAAAAGTACCATCGGGTTTAATGAACTTTTATTACTTTGTTGAGATATCAATTTTTTAGAATAATTTGCGATGACATATACAAGAGTTGTATGTATAGAAGTTCATTACAAATGTGTGTTGTGGGTTATTTAGTGTGCACACCATATGAGCAAATGAAAGAGAAATTGGGACTTATCTGCTAATTACTTGTCATTGAGACAATTTAAATGCCAGAGGGGGCAAAGTGATGCAATTGAATATTCATAGGGACCAAGTGATGAAACTATACTGTTAGAGGTGGTATTTTGGAATCATTTCTTTATATTATTGCTATAATCATAATTTTCGTTGTTAATAGTCCAAACAAAGTCTAACATAAGAAAAAACAGATAATCTAAAATAAACATTAAACCCAACATGAATAAGAAAAACTCTCAAGGAAAATTAAACCAAAAAACGACCTTTCCTATTTTCAGTTTAATATTTTGGTGTAGTCAAGATTATCAATAAGAAGTGACAAATGTTGATAGATAGAAAATGACAAAAAGGTTATTTGTCTCGATGTCAATAAGAAGTGACAAGCCACCACCATAGCCGTTAAGGTTTGGTGGGATGGGGGGTCAAAATTCAAACTTTACATTCCACCAATTATCACTATATGTGGCACATCACTTTAAGTGGCTTAAATCTTTATCGGTGCGTAGTGTACTCGTTTGGTCCGATGGTGATTCAGTTTCCGTCGGTTCCCTAGTAGGTAAAAAATTATTATTCCCATGTCCCATGCATTCATCCGAGCCCTCAAAAAAATATATTTATCCTAATGCAATTCCTATTTCTTTTTCTTTTTTGATGAAAAGGGGAAAGCTTTTATTACTAGACTTGTTGAAAATCGTCGTATACAAATTCGTGAACAAAGTTTGGGAGATGCAAACAAAATTGGCTATTTGATATAATGTGCCAATTCATGCGCATCCAGTTTCTCGTGGAACCCAACTAGCTTCACTTTTGAAGTGACTAAATGAAACAACACACAAGCTCTCAATTATTCGACCAATTGCAGAATTTTGCCGGTTAATTTTGAAGATTACTATGAAAAATTAGTCAAAATGAAAAAAAAAATGTGTTAAAACTGACCCTCAAAATCTGCCTTAACATGAACTTGTAACCACATTGTCATACTTTATAATACTCCCAAAATCTCCCTATTAGTTTTATGTATACAAAATACCTCTTTAATACTTCAAACGCCTATGCTGGCACCGGAAACTCTTTACCTCAGCCGCTTTAACAAGGCAACAGGAATTTAAAATTCACCTTTTCTGATAAATTCTAAACACAAAATTCCTAAATTGCATCACCGAATTCAGGCTCTTAAATGGCATAAACAAATCTGTATGTACTTTGGGACAAATTTCTTCACTAAGCTATTTATTTAGTGCTACAAAGCTTTGTAGAAATCCGATTTATACCAGTCACAATTGTTTCTTCAAAGCTAATCATTCTATTTAAACAAAAATTGGCATGAAATTAATTATCTGTATGATGATTACTTGATTTGGGAAGTGTGTTACTTCTAAATTTCAACACTCCTGTAATTAGAGGCAGCTCAAGTTTTGGACAAAGCTTAAACTGCACAGATACTCTAAACAAAATCGGCTCAACTCAATGATCAAATTTTATTTATAAATTTTACAAATCCAGAAGTAATTTTTGATAAAAACATCATCATTAGTTGAATTTGCACTAATGGTAGAAACTAGTGCAACCATATATAAATACAAACAGATCTGAAGAACAAGTCTAGATATTATTTCTCCAGATTTAAAAAGTCAAGAGACTATTACACTGTAAAATTCAAAAAAAAAAAGAAAAGAGAAAAAAATAAGCAAAGGAATAGAGGATTCTCATATTTGATAACTTACAATTTGCAGAGCAAGCTGCAACTTTTAAACGATGAAAGAAAGAAGGCGTGAATGTTTTTATACAATAAAAGAGAAAGAAACAAGCAGCTATAATGATTTGTAAGTTTTAAAATCTAGGTATCACTTTTCAGGAGGATGACTTTAATAGCACAAAAGGATCCAATTGCCAAGAAAACAATCAAGGCAAATAGTTCAAATTTGCTCAAACGTGTGCTTTGGCTTTGAATGCCCTTAAATAAAAAAAAAAAAAATCAAGGCAAATAGTTAAAATTTGCTAAAACGTGTGCTTTAGCCTTTAGCTTGGAATGCCCTTAAATTAAAATTGGGCCAATTTTACGTATCCTATCTATGTTTAGGCTACTATCAAAACAATGCACTCTATAGATGTTGGCAAACAAAAAGTTCAGTCGGTAGACAGAAAAGGTCCAATTAAGCCAGTTTTATGAAATACAATAAACCAAAAAGCAAGTCAAGTCTACAAGTGTAAACATTTGCAAACTCGTGGTACAAACTTGAATAGGGATGGCAAGAGGCGGGTCCCCCGCCCTGCCCCCCCTCCTCCCCTGGCCCCGCCCCACTTTTTCTGTAGAACTAATAAAAATTTGTTATATAATTTTATTATAGTCAAATTTTAATAAATAATCAAGTACTAAAATATCGACACATTACAGTTACAGAGTTATTATCCATTATAATTTCACAATTGAAACTTAAAAAAACAATCAAACAAAAGTTATTTGAATACAATCCAACGTGACGAAACAAATACAACTAAAGTAGTCAAGTTTTCACTTTTGATATAAATACAATCACTAAATTATTATTATGTTTTTTTTAGAAAAAAAATGTTATTGTGTCAAGTGTAATTAGGAATTTAGTATAAATGTATTAGTAAATTTACTATAACTAATTAATAATTTCTATTAATAGACATGTATAATTATTAGTATAATTGATAATATGAATTATATTACATACACTAACATACAATATATAATACATATGACTAATAATACATTATTATAAGTTTGTAACTAATTAAGTTAAATATTATATATATAATTATATACATATGTATATATGTATTTATATATTTATTAATTTTTTTGGATAGCGGGACGGGGTTATACTCCCCCGCACCCCCTCCCGCCCCGTTTCTAAACGAGGGGGAAAAATTTCTCCCCCTCTTTGCCCAACCCCCGCCTCATTCGCTCCCAACAGGCACCCATCCCAATTACGATACCTAAACTTGAAAAGTAGGATATGTGTATCCAGTATGTCATATGAGATCATCGTTATCCTATTGAAGTATTTTCCTGTGCTCAGTCCTCCATTGCACCACGGAATTTTTTTCCCTAAACAGAGAGTGCAGGAGCAACAATCTGGAACAGCATAGATTAGATGGTGGCCCTCAATTTTAAGGGTTAAAAAGTCATTACACGATTAACTTCGGTGTTGTATTTCATATGAATCCAATTATATGATACATAAAGATGAAAGGGAAATAGATAAAAGAATGTATAAATACATTTATAAAAACATCCTTTCCTCATTTGCATTAAGATCTCTATCTATTTGATATACATTTTCTATAACTTTCAATATGCATAATGCATCGTATAATAATCCTGCCAAAAACACAGTAAGACATTGGCAGCATTCTGCCGCTGACTAAAATTTTCGGTCCTAACATTTAACTCCGAACTTCGTTCAAAGGAAACAGTGAACATCTTTCAGCCAAAACTGAAGGGCTGTTTCATGAATAATCAAATATTGCTTTCTCTGTTTTTCTGCCCCATTCCTCCGTGTCCAACTGTGGATGCCTCGTTAAAATACGAAAGATAATAAACCAATCAATCATCTCAAGGAATTGTACTAATCAAGTGCAGCTTTGTTTCTACGACCAGTTATGGGCTTAGGTAAACCGTCAAAGATTGGTCTCGTAATCACTGCAGAGGAAAGGGCCTGCAGATCTGGCTTCAAGCTCCACTTTGTTGTAGGCCATAGGGATGACAAAGTGCCATTCTCTGAATCTTGCAAACTTGATGTACTTGATGATTTCCTCACGCTACTAAGACTGTCAATTACAAAAGATTCCCCCAAACCTATAGGAATAGGGTTTGGCAAGCCTGCTTCAGCTTCAGCCCCAGGTAGAGTTCGACTAGTTGACTTGGGTCTCAAAGCCAAGCCTTTACCAGTAATTGCTGAAAAGCCACTACCACCGCTATTATCCTCCTTCAGCAGCTTCTCTGGAGTACGAGAACTAAAATCAGCCTCAGATTTCTGACGCCTTCGCACTAGAAGCTTTTCAATCCAATTATCCGAGTCACTATCGGTACTTTCTTGAGCAGACAGATGATCATCTAGGTGACCATTTTCTGTAGCAAAACCATTAGCTTCACTTTTAGATTTTCTATGATGACTCAGTGGTGGGTTCAGATTACTGGAAGGCCTGGCAAATGGCCCATCCTCTAAATAGTGAGCTCCACCTTTCCGATACACAGCCATTTCAAAGCCTTCTGATGCAGATTTCTCCTCTGCTGGTTTAAGACCATAATAACCTTGTAAACTGCTCATGGCTGGAGAGACCTTCCGCTGAGGAGAAGGCGTCAACTTCAGTGACTGAAATGAGTCAAATAAATCAGAGTGCCTGCGGGTGGGTTGAGTCTTCTCACAGCCACGTGGCCTGCAAATAAGCAATCACAACCAGCAACAGTTTAACCATTTTGGATTACCGGAAGAGAAAAGCGAAGCAAAAAGATAAGGAGGATGCAAAGCTATAATTATCAAATTCTCAGCTATGTTTCAGATACAGAGATAGTTACCAAAACCAAAAAGGACGCCAATAAGTATAATAGGTCCAGTCCATTGTTATTCACAACCCAGTATTATCGTGCAGTTACCAACAAGGAACTGGATGGCAAAAGGCACTTTTCTTCATTGTACCATCATGATTTAATCAAGCAATGAGTTTGTAAAGTATCATCCTTATTCAAACATATCAGTCCCAATTAAATAGTAAATTCTTAATAACTCAAAACTTAGGTTCGCCAGACTGCAATTTAAACCAAATAAAACAGACTCTATCAGTTAACTTATGAGACTAAATGTCTTTCAAGGCATAATGTTAATAGGCATCTTCTGAACACGCTTAAACTTACAAAAATTCACAATGTCCTTTTAGCATTTTTAGCGACATCTGAAATAAGTTCATGGATAAATTTGCCACTTCTAATTACCAGCCAAGACAGTTGTCTTTTCTGCTTATTATGATACGACCAAAGCACATTTCTTTACATAGAATGGTGCTTTAATCAGGCAGGGCGCAGTGAACTCTGACTACCAGAATCAATTACAATGTGGAACAACAGTTCTAATAATGGCATAAATCCTAATATTGTAGTATCTTTAATTTAATGTAGAATTGGATAAAGATCTGGAGGGAGAGAAAATCAAATTCATTATCCTATTACAGCAAGATATTAACCTTAGTTAAGTAAACGAAAAGAAGAGTTAGAATGTTTGTTGCCCAACTTAGAAGCAGATAAAAGTTGCAAATTCAAACATGATAAAGGCAAATTAAATATTCTAATCAAAAGCAGGATGGGTAAAAAGAATATATCAACTGTGGAGCATCCTAGTGATAACGAGCTTTTGGCACTGTACTTGTATCTGACCGAAAACAAACTCAATTAAACTCCACAACCAGCCAAAGATACTCATACACGTAAAAATCTGGTATGACGTAAACAGGTCTAACTGTTTCGTCTTCAGCAACGTGGCTGCCTATGCACTGCTTGTCAGTTTCTGCCAACAATAAATACACCCACACAGCAACTAGAATGCAAAAGGACAAAATACATCCATAATAGGAATGCAATCATCAAATAGAAAGTTCGAAGAATCAGAACCAAAAATGGTTTTCCGCAAATATCAGATACACACCACTTGCAACTCAGAGCCGAGGATTCCCAAAAAAGTATGTTGGGCATATATAAATGTAAGAACAATGGAAATTCCGTAGATTAAAATGTAAGCATCAAGCACATGAAAATTGCTATACCCTTGAGTATCCAAAACTTTTGATAAGCTGGGTGATGGAGGATGCCTTCCTGGTAATGGTATTTGAAGCGTCTTTAGAGCAAACATTTGGAGATCTGACACCAAGCCATTCATCCTCTTTATATCAGCCACCTGATACATCAAAAGCCACCAATGCCAAATACAGCATTAATATGGCATCATAACTGAAAAACCATTGAAAGAAAATGAAAACCCCAAAAAGGCAAAAGCAGTCAGAACAGAACAAGCCCCAAAATACTATGCACTCAAACAAAACCTCCAGTGTCAAAACAAAACAACTCTCCAAACATCAAAACAAAACCTGAGTGTCACAGTGCACTGAAATTGGATGATAAACACATGTGGAAGTTACATCATCATCCAATTATCTCATAATACAACATAACTACGAAACATACAACTTTAACACATTCAGTATACATGCCAGTTATCTTAAATGAATAAACATACTCCGACATGCTATTTTAAATGCAAACCAAACTAAACATAATCTCTGGAAAATAGGGGAAAACCTAAATTCAAAACATATATTGCCCTTTCATTTGGCCGCTCAAGCGTTGTTAGTAAATACTTTTCCGATCAGAGTTTGGAGTTCAGACCTATACTTTCCTTCTTCATGGATTAGGACTTCAAATGCGCCCTTTTCACTAATTATACCAACAATCTGTCATGGAGCAGCTGACAAGCAAATCAAGTAATAAATGGAAGCGTGAAGATAGCAAAGAAGAAGGCGTGATCTAGGAAGAAGAAAGAAACCAAGGCGTGAATCAAGGACCACGCCTTTACTGGAAACCAACTCTGCAACCACGCGAAGGAAGCCATTGAAGTTCTGCAACAACTTGCAGTTTCGTGTAACCAAATTCACAGCCACTTGGCCACTTGGCCACTTGGACAAATGCGATTGGAGGACCAGATGTTAGTTATAGATTGATAGTTATAAATAGGGAATTAAGGGAACGTAGCAGGCAGCAATTTTGTCTTGTAATTCAACAGAAGTGAGCATCAAATCTCATTCTGCTTTTTCCTTCTTAAAATTTCCTTCATTCTCTTTCACCTTCTTATTGTTCCCGCCATTTCTGTATTCTTTTACAGATTACTAAAAGCCATTACTGAGCTCCATTCTTAGCTCGTTTTGTGTTTGAATTAATTTCATTTGCGTCTGATTGTGATTTCAATTCCGAGAGCCAACATTCCTAATTAGCTCAAGTCTGGTACCATTACAGTGGTATCAGAGCTAACTACGAGCCATTGGGATGACGAAAGCACAGGAGGAGCTGATAAGGAAGGACCTGACTGAGCTAGGGAGTGTTGTGAGGACGTTTGCTAACAAAAACGATGGATTGGAACAGGCGGTCAGGGCGATAGAGTATAGGCAGGAAGGCACGGAGAAGGCCATTAAAAACCTGGACCAGAAGTACGAGAGCATGATGTCAATGATGGCTCAAATGATGGCCAAATTGAATGAATCTGGGAGAAGGGATGAGGGAAGCAGTTCTGGGAACTGGTTTGTTTCATTTCTCTTTATACAGGTTTAGGCTTGTACATAAAAGCTAAATCTTGTATAAAGTTGCTTAAATTTACCATGCATAATCTGATTGGGATTCTTGGAAGACAGAATAGCTGAATTGTCTCTTGAAAAATAGTTACATTATCAAGAACATTTATGATAGTCTTCTACTTCACAGGATGCTGAATGAGAAAAATGTCTCTTTCATGCCTGACAGAACCCACCCTAACCACCCTCCAGAGGAAGTTTCGTAGGGTGAGGTGTTATGAGTTGTGACATCCAGATCCATTTCTGTTTATACCATCTGAGCTTGTTCACAGAAGCCAAATTTTGTATTAAGTTGCTTCAGTTTACCATACAAATTTTTATTGTGGTTCTTGGAAGACAGAATAATTGAATATTGTCTCCAGAAAAATAGTTCAGCTGCTGGTAAAAGTTGGAGACGTAATATAAGAGGTATTCCTAGTGATTCTTGGATAAATACTTTTCTGGCGTTTATCTTGAAGCCTTTTAGGAGAAAGGCATGGCTGTGGTTCTCGAGGTGAAGGGAATTTGAATTGAAAGGGAAATGAGAAAAGGAGGAATGCTATTTACCTCTTTCTGGTTTGGTGCTGGAGATTGAGATTAATGTAGTAAGATATGCTAGTGACTGGAGATGCATCTTGGTCGCACTGGTTGACAGTCATGAGGGATTAAAATTTAGATTACAGCAATGAAGTTGCAACTTTTTCACATCATCATTGCTGCTTTGTAGTTAATATTCCTTGTTGAGGCCAAGTTTTGGGCATATGAACAATCTGTGACGAGCCTTTTTAAAGAAGAAGAAGACACAGGTTCTTGTTACACCTGTTGTGTGTAGTGGGACTTGGAACAGAAGAATGTATTTGGATTAATTGTCAAGTTTGAGTTTCTGCACGCTGTTTAGTATATTGGTTTTTGGCTCTCTGATGTGTTCTGTTGTGGTTGACAAATTGAGAACATGCAAAATCAATGTATGTTGGTTTTGTGGGGAGGATAGGAGATGCAAATTTAACCTTTGGGCTTATCTAATAGATTAAATTGAATAGCTCAAATGCTCTGGTTTCTTTACATCTTGGATCCCCCTGCTTCCCCCTTCCCGGGGAACTGGGTTGCTGTTTTATGTACAGTTCAGTGAAGATTATGTGTTACAGACAAGGAATTGAATGTCTGATTGTGGGCTCAAGGCAAAAAATTTTGTTTGGAAATTACTGGTATTTTGTGGGAATTTGGCTCTCTTATGCAGTAATGATGGTGTTTTTTTTTAAGCCAAAGAAATTTCCAACATGATTTTTGTTTTTTTTTTTCATCCTTAACAAGAACCTCTATTGAACTTGCAATCTATCCTAAATTTTAATTAGTTTTGTTGGTGAGAAGATTTCTTTAATATGGTTTATTGTGGATCAAATTATCTGTCAATCTGCCTTGTCTTAGAAATGGTAGTATTTGATGTGTTTTGTGACGCTGAATTTGTGCTTGATGATAAATTTCCTTGGATTTTCTAGGATTTCTATTGCTATCTAACAAGGCTTCCTAGTTTGCCTTGTACAAATCACTGATCTGAACAGATCATTATCGGTGGAATTTGTTTTTGTGACAATTTTCTGTATTTAGGACATTATGATATGATCCATTTTTATCTTCACTGCTATCTTTGTATTTTTTACTTTTGGTGGTTGAGAGCATTCTTTCTGTATTTGCAATCATTACATGTTCTGTGCATAGCTTCTGTTGATTGGGATCAGGACAATTTATTTAGTTAACCTTTTTGGCTTTCAACAGAGCTTTTGTTGCTCCTGCGGATATTCAGGCATTTACAAGTGATTCCAAGAATAAATTGGCAGCTCGTTGCCGAGGGAAGACAGTTAAATACTTTGCACAAGCTGTGAGGGAAATTTCTGAAGAATTTGAACGGTTGCAACATCAAAGTCCAAGTGGCCTCAGAGATGATAAAAGTCCATTGGCATTTGTAACTGATGTGCATTCTGCCGATGGGGAAATAGGTGATGCTATAGAGGCTGATCTAAAGGAAGTGAGTGGGAATAAGGGAATTAATCAGCCAACAGAGGTCAGAGGCTTGGGTGACCATGGCACTGGCTCTCAGAGACAAGAGGAGATGGACCATAGGGACATAAAGTCCACCTTTGATGATGGAAATGGGGGTTTGTCTAAGAGGAGCAAGTTTTGTGATGGTCGCGCTGATTTAGTGAAAAAGGAGGTGATGTCAACATCTATTTCAAGCCGTCGTTCGCTTCATAAGGAAACTTCTTGTGAAAGGAGAGTTGAAGAGTCTTCTTCAAGGCAAATGAGTCATGGAGGGGGCTCAAAGGTTAGTGAAAACTATTCTCCTGATGCGGCAGAAGAAGGTTTGACAGCTTCATTGTCCTCAGAGCATGAGAACTATCCTGATGTTGCAGATGATTTTAGAAATGGACGCAAATCAAGGGTAGCTTCTGGAGATGAGGCTGACAAAAGAATTGGATTTGGTGGCAAGCAGTCATCTCAGAATTTGGTGAAAAGTGATGGTGGGAAAAAAGTGAAAAAATTGTTGAAAGATAATAAGAATTTTGATCTGAAGGATAAGCCTCAGACACATGTTGAAGAAAGTTCTGTTGATGAGGTTAAGTTTTCCAGCAAGAAACAAGGGCAAGGAAAACAAATTTCAAAAAGTAATGAAGTCTCAGATCCTGCCAGAAGGTCAAAATGTGATGATGTGACTGATGATTCCAAGGTGTCACTGCAAAGCAGAAAGGTTGAGGCCCAAATGAAGAATAAAAAAATGGTAGAAGTAGAGGGTAAAAGGTCTGTAGTGCTGGGGAAAGGAGAAAGTCAACTGGACATGAGAACTCTATCGAGCACTACTGATTCCAATCTTTCTGGTGATGAAGATGTTCTCCCTCCACCAAAGCGCCGTCGTCGTGCACTGGAGGCTATGTCCACCGCCTCTGCTTTGAATTTTGAAACTAGAATTGGAAGAAGTTCTGCTGTACTGAAGAACGACATGTCAAGGCGGAGAGCTGTTCGCCTATGCGATGACGATGAAGAAGAAGAGCCCAAAACTCCTGTTCATGAAGGGTCTACAAAGAAAGTCTTGGCTAATGTGCATGGACCGGTTTCTACAAAGAGAGGCGACGTACATACTTCTTTTTCTGATCAATTTAGCAAAAGAGGTTCTGGTCCACCTGAGGGTCAATCTGCTAAGAAATTGGTACTATCTGGTGATCAATTGGTTGAGCACTCGTCTCCTAATTCTCAGCAAACTGAGGAGAAGAAGCAAGGGAAAGCAACGGCTTTCCACATTTCTTTTAGTCCTGGAAAACTAGAGTCTGAGAAAGTATCTCTCAAGGAAAGTAAACAGGTTTCTGTTTCCCCTAGAAGTTCCCCTCTCTCTTTTTCTGCTGTTAAATCAGTGACAGACCTTCAAAAGTCCTATAAGCTCTCGGGTAAGGTTCCTAGCAACATGCATCAGAGAAAGGCTACGGCATCTGACCCTGGTGTGACTTCTGAGTGCATGAACTCAACAGCTAATCAGCAAAATGAAAGATGCAAGCCAGAAATTTCCGCAGACAGAAACAAAGCTACTCCAAAATCTCATCCTAAGACCAATGATGTTCCTCTTCCATTAGGAATGACGGAAAATCGTTTCTTACAGGGGGAAAGGTACTGTTGTGCTTAGGCTTTTTGAGTCCTCTATTTGAAATTTCTTGTATTCTGATCTCATTTTCATTCATTGTTATGCCAACAAACAGATCTGAAGATGGTAAAGATGACAAACTAAGTTCTTCAATTGATCAAAGATCTTCGGATTCTGTTTTGTCCATGAAACATCTTATTGCAGCTGCTCAGGCCAAAAAGAAACAAGCTCATTTGCAGAACTTCAGTGACAACCCTAATTTTCTTCTGGCACTAAACACTGATGAACCGGTGAGGACCCCTAGCCCTGCTCCTGTTGCTCAGCCTATGGGGTCCAGCAGCATGGCACCTTCAGATGTACAGGGATTTCTTCCTAAATCATCGATGATTTCTCCTCCATCTGATATATATCATGCTTCGTCAACTAATCAACATGACACTGAAGAATTTGTAGAGGGGATTAGTTCTGGGCATCGGACTGCTGGGGGTTCACTTAGTGGTGGTACTGAGGCTGCTGTTTCTCGTGATGCCTTTGAAGGAATGATAGAGACATTGTCAAGGACAAAAGACAGTATTGGACGTGCTACACGTCTTGCTATTGATTGTGCAAAGTATGGCCTTGCCAATGAGGTAGGTGTAACTTATGATTTGAACTGTTTATCATGGGGATTCTTGTGGCATCTTTACTTGTTCCCTGAAGATAGGCAAAACTACATTTTCCACTTTAGATTTTGGTATTCATAGGAAGTAGTTAAATATATTCTGAGAAAAAGCATAGTAGCTATGTGTGAGAAGTAAAGAAAACAAAATGTTGGACCCTGTGTGTTCCTGGGAATGTTACCAAATATTTGAATTATAGATCCAGGTTTTGTAGCTGACTTCCTCTTTGATGCTTTGTTTAGACAGGAATTTGACAATATAATTTCTAGAATTTTTATTAGTGAATGTGTTTTTGTTTTTATTTTTGGTACCTAAAATTGTAAAATCTCCAGATTTTTTACAGGATCTCAAGAAATATCTTTAGAAAATGTTGGTCTTTGAAATTTTTGCTTGTGTTGGTTTTCTAATTTTTTCTATTTAAGATTTTAATGTTGTGTTGAAATTCTTAAACTGAAAAGAACAACATATACTTAAATCCTTTAAGGAGAAGAACACCTGCTTTGGAACTTGTATCTTCTTTGAGGACTTTGTTTGCACTAAGATGCCTGGTGTTTTGTAGGATTCTGACTTCCTTTTCAAGCCTAACTTGTGTCTTCTCTCTTTTATGGTATACAACCAACTGGTGGTTATTGAATGCTTGAGAAAATAGAAATCATAATCAAGAGCAATAGATGACGTTGCATTACCTTATGGTAAAACTTTGGACATGATATGATTGGAGAGGCAATGTGTGAATTTCTGTTAGTATATTATGAAACCAAAAGGAAGATATAAGATGTTTTATAATGTTTACTGGTTTAGGAAGGGTAAAGGTTTATTCTAGTAGTACTCTTTTCGTAGGGCTTTTGAATTACCTACCATCTGGTCACTGTTTGTTTGGTCAAGCCTAGCAAAAATCAATCGGCCTTTGGTGGTAATGGCTGATTGGACGTTGGCCATTGTGCAAAGCAGAATTTTCACTGGTAGATCGTTGAAAAATTTGTCAAGGTTGGGCAATTTATCAGCGATTATGTGGGATATAGGTTGAATGGCACTGTAGTGCTTGTCTGGCTGTGCCTGGTGTTCTGTTCCTTTGACTGTCAGATTTTGGTTAGAGAATGCATTGGAGCCATGGCTATTTGAATGCTGCCTGGTGAGGCTGTCTCTCATTTTTGTGGGTTTAACATCTGTGAGCAGCTGCCAGATACTTCTTTGGGTGGTTGTGTTCCAATTAAGCATCTGCTTAAATACACTTAAGCACAAAAAATTGGTCTTTTCTAGTTTACCAATACAGAGCCCTAAGTACCATCAACTGCTGCAATGAAGCTGTGGAGTTTTGAACATGAAGCTTGTGGAAGAAACTAAATGCACTCATAGAGATCAAAGAAGGCTTTAGTGATATTTCACTGATCTACCTTTTCTTTTATCTTTCTAGCTAGATTAGACTTTGATTTCATGGACTGAGTTACCCTGTTAAAAAAGAGTGGTGGGATGGTAGCTACCAAATCCCTGTCGAGGTGCTTGTGGGGACTTGTGGTTGATATTGAGATTGGATGTGTAATATACGTGAAAACTGGTGTGAAGGGGTGATTTGTTTGTAAAAGGGATTTCGATGTCACTGTCAATATGGAATATAGGAGATTAGTTTTAGTGTTCAGTTCAAGAACAATGAAGAAGAAGAATATGAAGGAGGTCAAAAAGATTAGGGGAAGAGGATAAAGGGAAAAAGCATGGATATTGTTGTTTGGGTTAAATTTGGTTCATGGTGTCAATCCAACCCGATACCATTTGGGGTTGGATGCCTCCATGTGAATGGTGCTGGCATTATACGCACTTTGCAGTCATCTTTGGTTACCTTTCACTGTAGAGCTTTTAATGTCAAAAGAATTTTAGCACAAGCTGGAAATTGGTGCTTTTGATATAGCTCTCCAATTTGAGAAGAATTAATAGCCAAGTTTAATTAATTATCCTAGCAGTCTCTATGTAAAACAATGATAAAAGTATTTCTTGCAAATTACATCGAAATTTTAATGCCCACCAAAAGCATTTCCATAGGAATACTGCTGAATAACATAATTAATTACTTTTGAAAGAACTGGTGATAAAAGTACTTTTCACTAAGCCATTGCAATCCCAAATGGGGCCTAACTAGTTGGTGCATCCTGTCATGCAACTTTCTGCTTACAAGTACTTTCAATTAAATAGTTTCTACTTTTTTAGGGTAAATAGTTTCAATTAAATAGTTTCAACTGTCTGCTTACAACTGTCTGTTCATGGACCATGATTTTCTGATCCTCTTCTTCCCATTCGGGTATGCTGAAATTTAAATGTCTCAGAGGCTGACCAATTGTAAAATGATTCACAGAAAAATGTGGATGGTTCATGAACTGGCAACATGAGTCCCTTATCAGTGTTGTTAGATGCTAAAAGATTGAATTCTAACATTTGAATCTCGCATTGTGGTTGAGTTCTGTAATTGCAGGTGCTTAGATTGATTGTTAATGTTTACTTCCCGTGTCATACAGGTGGTTGAACTTCTCATTCGGAAATTGGAGAGCGAGTCAAGTTTTCATCGGAAAGTGGACCTGTTTTTCCTTGTGGATTCAATAACTCAATGCTCTCATAGTCATAAAGGTAGGAATGTGTGGAAAATACATTAAAATCTATCTGTCTTGCCGTTGTGGGGCATCATTTGAGATTACTTCTTTCTCTTTGGAGATCTTGTTTTCCACTGCTATTTCAGCTCTACTTTGTATTATTCTTGTATTTATATTTATCTATAGTTTCTAGTTGGCTCTGGTTTTTTCTGATATTTATATTCTTGTGTGAGGATCCAATGGTCATGCTAATGTTGTCTTCATCCTGTCTCATACTGATTGTATTGGATGACCATTTTGGTCTTCCTTGCTATATTTCCACAGGCATTGCAGGAGCTTCTTACATACCTGCTGTTCAAGCAGCACTGCCTCGTCTCTTAGTTGCTGCTGCACCACCTGGACCCGGTGCTCGTGAAAATCGTCGTCAGTGTCTAAAGGTAATTACATTTAGGTCTTCATGTAATTGTACATATCTGCAAGAGAGCCTTCCAAGCTTGCTGAATGTTTGAGTTAACCTCAATAAATCTCTTGTAGGTTCTGCGGTTGTGGCTTGAGAGGAAAATTTTGCCTGATTCTCTTCTGCGACGTTATATGGAAGATATTGGAGTAGTAAGCGATGATACATCTTCTGGGCTGTCCCTTAGACGTCCATCCCGAGCTGAGCGGGCTATAGATGATCCTATTAGGGAAATGGAAGGCATGCTGGTTGATGAGTATGGGAGGTCTGGTTCATGCTCAGCATTTCTTTTTGACTGAATTTCTCCATCAATTTACTGTCCCCTATCAACTTGCATTTGCTATTTAATTCATGTGGTTGAGCTATATGAGCTGCCTTGGTTTCACAAAATTTTGTCTATATCCTTTAAAGAGCGACTTACTGGGAGGATATGGTTGCTGCCAGAAATTGGTTGTTTTAACAGTCATCATGTTATATCATAGTATTTTCATGTTGTCAGATAATTTTTGTGGTGCTCATTGTTCAAAATAGGGAAATGTGATGTTAGTGTCCAGGTCTTAACTAATTCCTTGTTTTATTTCTGTTTCCTTATTTTTCAAAATCAACATGTCTTGACAATCTTTATTTGTTTGGACAAACCAGATAGAGCTTTTCCTGAAGGGGGCTAGTTGGGCTAGATATAGAGTTGCTAATGAAAGCTTGTTATTTGCATGTTGAGGGTGGTTGTAATACATGATTGCTTGGTTGTTAAAGTTATCTAGGTTTATACTGGGTATAGATCTTGTGGCAGGAAACCTTTAGATTCTTTTGCTTGTCGTTTCCATAGTTTGTCTAACCTGTTTGTGTTGCTTTTTTAAATCAAAGAGTGAAAACTAAACTCATCTTCCACAAATTATATGTGCAAGTTTGTATTGTGCACTGCTGCATTATAGTCTTAGTGAATTGTTCCCTCGAACAAGGGAGAAAATGGGATATGGAGGTGTTATTATGATGTAACAGCCACCAAGTAGAGCTTTGCCAGTAGGGTTTGGTTGTTGTATCCCCGTATTTTGATGTTTTTTCAGTTCCTCGTTGTTGTGTGATTTTTAATGTTCTGCCCTTTCTTGGATATCTAAACTGAAATCTCTCTATTCCCAGTACCAGTGGTATCCCATGGGATGTCCTTTATGTAATATTGATCATTAATATTGGCAGGAGTATACATGCTCTGTTGATAAACTCAATTTCCAACTTTTGTATTGGGATTAGTCCAATCACCTTTTTCACAGTTTTTGAAGAATATGTTGAATGTTGCTTGGATACAGATGTATGTGTTGCTTGCATTCTGCTTGGTCTCTTCTTTTGGCTATGAATTGAAAGTTGAATATGATTCTTTCTTTTGATGGATCCTAAGTTTTTAATTGTATTTTCTGTTCTGATATCTGTCTAACCTTTTTTTTTTTTTGGTTTTTCCTCCCTAGCAATGCTACATATCAGTTGTCTGGATTTTTCTCATCTCATGTCTTTGAAGAAGAAGAGGAAGAGGAGGAAACTCACCATACTGCGGTCCAGGAAGCTGCAGATTTATCACCTCTGCAACGTACCCCTGCCGCAGGAGATTTTGACAATTATAATTTCACTCCAAATGAGAAACGTCACCACATCTTAGAGGATGTCGATGGTGAACTTGAAATGGAAGATGTTTCTGGACACCAGAAGGATGAAAGATCACCAATGACTGGTGATACCTTGGGGACTGATCCAAGTAATGTAACTTCTGTCAAGATTGGCGAATCAACTCTAAGCATACCTTTTGAATTGCCTCCTCTTCCTGAGGGTTCTCCACCTCTGCCTCTAGATTCTCCTCCAGCAACCCCACCTTTGCCATCTTCACTGCCTCCGTCACCTCTGCAGCCTCCAATGCCACCTCCAATGCCCTTGTCTCCGGCTCCGGCTCTGGCTCCAGCTCCAGCTCCAGCTCCTCCACCACCGCCCCTCTTGCAGCCACATGCAATTCTGCCGTCTATTGGTCTTCCTCCCCCAGTATTGCCTCAACCATCTTTACCACCTCAGCCTTCAATGGCCTCTCAACATGTAAACCTGCTTCCATCTTCAAATTTAGCCTCATCGGTGGCAGCATATCAAAATGGTCCTGTGCTACCAGAAATTGGTGGAAACCCTGGTGTAAGACTTCCAGCTTTCCTTTTCTTCATATTCTCACTGCTACTCGTCTACCAGGATTATGTGATAATGTGGTTTGTAAATTTTTACTATTGTTATTTTTTTTGTATCTAACAGGTGAACCCTCTTACAAAAGTGGCTGGAAATGCTTCTCACGGACCTCCTGTTGATGCATCTGTGAGAAATGAAATGTTTGCTCAACAGGGACCTAGCTTTGTGCCAATTGGTGTAGGAACCACACAAGAACCCTCTCGATATAGTTCAACTAGGTCTTTGGAATATGGGCATAGTAACATGTATGCAAATTCACTAGCTTCTCAACCCAATATGCAATTCCAGCCTGGAAATGTGCCTTTCACTCAAAGGCCTTTGCCTCCAAACCCCCCACCTCAAGGTACACCAAGTCATTTCTCATATCCAGTGCCCACAATCCGGCATCATTCTCCTGCTGTTCAGCATCATCCTCCTCCGATTCAGAATCCCTTGCCTCCTGTGCAGCATCCTCCACCTCACTCCTATACTCTGCAATATTCTGTGCCTAATTTTGCTGATGGATCAAGGCATTTTTCTGTTGATGAACAATGGAGGATGAGACCTAGTGACTTGAACTCTGATCAGCGTGGTGTGTGGATGCATGGAGTGAGATCATGTTCGGGTCCAGCTTATGCCCAGGATGGTGCGTATGCTTCATTTATAATATGACATTTCAAAGTCAAAAGCTTACAACTTTATTTGTCGTATAATAATATTAAATTGGCAACGTAACATATTTTTGACGTTGGAGTGTTAATGCATAAAGCTTTGCCTAGATTGGCCTGGTTATTTAGTTGCTCTAAAGAGTGGTGTCTACCTCAAACTGTTGTTTATATATTCATTCTGCTGCTTTGATGTATCACAGAAGTTATATATTCATTTAGCTCATATGTTGCATTTAACGATATTGGTGGTGGAGGAAAGTAGAGATGGTCCAAGTTGCTGTTTCAATGTCATCGATGATGAGGCAAATATTACTTGGTTTTGGTGTTTCACACTTTTAATCTGTGGACTATTATATTCCTGCTGTACTCTAGCAAATGTTTTGATAATCTGTTTTTGGAAACCCTAGTGCGAAAAGATAACAGCCTTTATTGTGTTAGTTTGGATTGATTGGAAAGAGGTGAGTGTCTTCAGGTCCAAGACCATTGCATTTTTTCAGGTTTTGTTGTACTATTTTCTGTCTTTCTTTATTGAAGGTATGTTTGATTCATATTAGGAATCCTCAGTGAACTGGTTTTGGACATTTGGTTCCCTGATTGCCCTTGCTATATAGACAATTGTTGCTTGTGAAGTTGAAAGGTTTCTTGAAATGTAAGAATCTTGATATATTGGTTCTCTTGAAATCTGATTAGAAGGCAATATCCGTACTTTCTGGAGCTGCGTTTTCGGCTAAAAGTTTGGTTCAAGGCTCCATTTATAACTAAGACTTGCGATGACGAAGAGGGATATTTTGAGGCTGAATGATTTAGGATATCAGTTTTGCTTTATGTTCGTTCTCATTGGAGCTTGTTCAATCAAGTTTGCGAATTCTATTTCTTGTAATGCAACATTAAATCCAAAATGTTTTTTCACTGAAAAAGATGAAACCCCAAAACAAAGTGATTATTGAAGCCAAAAGGGTCTCTGAGATGGTTTAAAGCATCTAAAATTGTAGTGGTTAATCTTCACCAGAAAATTGATGCGTATAAAATTTGGCACCATCTTTTGTGAATTTAACAAGTTTTGGAATGTAAAAATTTGTTCGAATGTTGGAAGGTGACAGTTTAACTGTATGCAATGGTTTTTAGAAACAACAATGTGGACTCCTTCACATTGGTGTCATATTTGAACTCTTTTTGGCAGAGTAGATCAGGTTCTTGTCTTGTACTTTGCAATGGCAGGATAATTCTGATAATCTTCCATGTGACAGGTTATCCTATGCCACCTCCAGAGAAGCCCTCTGTTGGTGCTGCTAGTTTTCAACCATCAGTCCTGAACACATATCCAAGTGGTACTTCAGTCCCAGGTGATTTTTTATGTGATAAGCATTTGTACCGACCAAGGGTTTAAACGAGTCGCTGGAATCTTCTGTTCCCAGAGGTTTGAGTTTGTTGTATGTATTTTTGCAGGTCATGGTGTAAATAACATAATTCCTGGCAGACCAGATATGTCTGCGTTCAGTTGGAGGCCTGCTTAAAAGTGGAGAGTCCTTTAGCTCCGTGGTTTGTTTTGCTCTTTCATGTTTTACAAAATTTAGTAGAATTGCAGCTGCTTCGCCTCTCTAGACTCCTCAATATTTACGGATTTCTGTTTTCATTTTAAGGATATTCTAGGTTCTCTTTCATCCAAGGTGATATCTCTGCACGTCCATTGTCATTGTAGTAAGGAGTAATAGTAGTTAAAAGCAAGAGAGCAAGTCACTTAAGGGAGAGGCGTAGTGATGCACTAATCTTGCACTTCTTTTAATCTAATCGAAGTGAGTGCGATATATTACATGCAGCCAAAGGACAAAAAGCAGTGCTTTTGAATTGTTTTGGTTTCTAGGATTGTCTATTTTCTGCTTTGACAATTGGATCTCTGTTTACTGTCCATTTGGACCACTAGATGAATATAATTCAGTTGAGTGGGAGATTCTACTTGTCAAAAACATGAATAAAAAAATAATTGAATGAAAATATGGGAAGGTGCGCAAGATGGTACGATCTCTAACTTAATCCTGTATGTCATCTTAAACAACAACTCAAACACAAATAAATTGATCAATATGTGACCAAGACCAGATCCCTCTCTCTCGCGTCCCTTCATAGCTGTGCCCTGTGTTCTGTTCTTCTTTCCTTCTCCTTTGGACTCTTGCCTTTCTTCCATTAACATTTTCTCTGGAAACTTGGCTGGAAGTACTTCTGGCATACTCCTTTTCTCCTCCTCTTTTTCCTCATTGTCCAACCTAAACTGTTTTGCTGTTTCTCAGTTTTTGTTCATTGCTTCATTTCCATTCACCCAAAAAAAAAAGAAAGAAAGAAAGCATTTGTTGAGCGTGATATTCAATGTGCTGGATTTAGCAAAGAGTCATTGAGATTTAACTAGGTATGTTTAGCTGCAGGTTTGAAACTAATTTTTAGCCAAGTGATCGATGTTAAGAAACTGAAGCTGAAGATTGAAATTTTACCTAGCAAGGCTGTGTGTTGAAGCTGAATTCTGTCAAATTTTTTGTTCTTTGTACAATAAGGATGAAAGGCGATCTACAGAAAGCATGCACTTCTGCTTAGAAAATCATGCATTTTACTCTTAAGCCTAGAAAGTCCCTTGTGCTTAGTGCAATTGTGCCTTAAACTAATCTTGCCCGGTCCATCTTGTATGTTAGCCCCACCTATTTCTCATTTGCAACATTTTTAATGTTTGAGCTCATGGTCCCTCATCCTTTGGTTTCTAAAGTTAGATTTTGTCATCTTTTTCAGGCTGTGGGAGATCATTGATACTGGATTTTTCGGGGAAACTCACCACCCAATGCTTATCTGTAACTTGCGAATTGGATCACAGCAAAATGAATGTGTTCAGAAGTTTTGATGACCCTTAACAGGATTGTGTATATTGTAATTTTCCTGACAAAAGCATCCTGCAAACATATGCTTCGAATTGTAAGCCATTTTACTCTGTAGACTAAGTCTTGTAATTATTCCAAATTCATATAGGAATGAACTTAGACACTGACTTTTAACCATTGCTGGTATTTTTTACTCAAGACTTCTTCCCATCCCCATTTCATTCTATCTTCGTACTTCATGTCCTTTCTGATTGCTTGCCTGTTATTGATGCCAAATTATGAATAAAAAATGTATGAATCGTAAGTGGTCTGCGTAAGCACATGCTTTCAGTTGAATAGTTGGTTTTTTGTTTGTTTAATTTTACTTTTTCCTTCAGTTAGATCTGGAAATTGTGCTTCTACTGATCTCCATGTCCTGTGCCCCAGATTTTCTAATAACCGATCTTTCCCTACTCAACTAGTCTTCTTGATCTTATCTGGTATTATTCTGTGTATAAAGCCTTTGCATGGGAACCCTGAAGTCCAAGGCCCATGCAAGACTAGTAGTAGACAAAATTAGTTATATCCACCTTGTTGACAAATTCATCTTTGAAGCAATATATGTTTCCTTATTACCATTCACTTTGATCCTGAGAAAGGAAGGGGGGGGGGTAGTTGACATAGATGCAGGTTTCTACATGTTCATTGAATTGTTGCTTTTTATAGCTCAAGGCATGTATGGTTTTTATGCTTATTGGAGGCTATACACCAGTGAAAAACTGAGACAAAAGTTAGCTACAGTGTCCTTTTCTGTCTCGCTTGAACATACTTTTGTTCATTGTTTTGGAATGGTTCGATTTGTTATTTCACATTTTTGCCTTGGTAAGACTGAGGAGAAAAATGGAGTCTTCAAGTTGTTTAGTTTGATTCTGGAATGCAAGTGTATCCACACTTTGTTCTGATTTTAATGTTCTTGGATGCTTGTTATTGCGGATAAACTTTCGTGAAATTTATATATACTTAGAAAGCAGAAAGTCAATCAAATTCTGATCTTAGCTAGTGGTGATCAGGGTTCTTGTCTTCACTTACACCCTCGGCTTAATTGGATGAAGTTCATTCTTCTTGTGGAATAAAGTGAAAAAAGTCATGCTGCTAGACATACTGAATTTGCTCAAGGTTTTTCTCTTCGCTGGAAATTTCAAAATTTTTTATATAATTGGTTCTTGGCTTCCCAATTTACAATTGTTTTGGAATTCTTAACTGTTTTTCTATTGATATAGCTGATTCCTTCTTTTTTCTTCCCCATAATTTTAAAAGTTATTTTGAAAGCGAAATAAAATTTTCACTAATTGTTTCTTCGATAAGAAAAATGGGAGGAAGATCGGTGATGATGTAACTAATGCTAGAATACGTGAACTAAATGCTGGTACCCTCATTTATAACTAAGTGTCAAAACTCCTCTAGATTGGCATGCTTCTAATTTGAGCCCCAATTGACTGTATATGTGCATCTTCACAGCATGGCTTACATGCATGATGATAATAGAACAAATCTTTGTCTACTCATGGGAGCATGGCCTTTGAGTAGTCTTTTGGTTTTGGATGCATCATGTGTTTGAGAGAGACAGTATGGGAAACCAAAAGTGGAACTGGTGTATCTGCTAGATTTTTATTTTTTTTTAATAATTTTATTTCGTTTCAAAATCCAGTCAGAATCTCCCTTGTATCCTTCAATAAAAATTATAGTTACTGTAAAATGGGTTTCTTCATTACAGTGCTGAGATATTGAGAGTTTTATGGTATTTGGTAGTCCAAGTTAGTTGCTCGATTATTGGGCATGATTATAACCTTATATTTTATGCATTCGGTTTCTTCTTTTTTTCCGCTTTCTGGGTATAAGATCATCCTTTTAGGAGTTGAATAGAGTTATGTAAAATCCCAATTCTTTGCAGTAGGATACAAGAGTGACCTGAGGCTGTTGTTCCTGCTGGTGGTACGAGTGTTTGAGGTATTGAGATGGAGTAACTCCATATTTGGTGATGCGTCAAGTGGTGGGAGAATGTGGATGGAGACAAAAAAAAAACTTTGGGAACCATATGTGTCCATGTGTGTCAGATAAGAGAGTTTCTGTGTTTCTTTGTGTGGAAGCAATTAAGCACTAGGCCCTTCTCATGAAGGGCATGTTGTGATGGTTGTGGTGACCATATAATCATATGATAGTTGTAGAAGTTCATATATATCATGCTGGATTAATCTCTTCCTACATTTAGGCTTGCTTTGAGGTAACAATCGAGTTAACTCTTTTTCCAATTTTCATGCTTGTGGTATAGAATCTCATTTGGTTTTGCGGTACATTGACTTAAATTATGAGTACCTGTCAGATTACATGAAACAGAGGAACAATGTCATTTTTCCAACCATGGATCAAATGGGTGTAACCTCATGTTATACTGAAATTAGAAAAGAAAACCTGAAGAAATAGGGGGTGGTGATGCGTACAATTTGAATATTTGATGTTCTATTGTAGTTATGAAAGAGCTATAAAGAAGTTGAGGCAAGAGGGAGACGCCTAATAGCTGGTGCGATTAGAGATAGTTAAATTCTGTGGCCTACATCAATGAATGCCAACAATTTAAAATATATGCATAACTGCAATTGAAAACTTTCCAGAATTGCTGTATGTACATCTATGATTCCAATTAAAGTATACTTACATTAAAAAGGAATGTAAAATATGTAATATGCTAATACTCTTTTTATCCTAATATGGTAGTATATATGCTATAACATTTTTTGCATGGTGGTCCCTTGTGCTCCTCAATTTTGAGCTGTAACCTTTGCTTTTTGATACAAGGTGTTGTCTGGTAAGGTAGGACACTAATTTGGGGTAAAAAGTTTCAGTAATAATCTGACATTGACATGTGTATACAAAAGACATGCCTATAATGTAGAAACAGAATGTAGCCAATTTATGATGAGATGGGAGATTTGTTGGCATATGAATTAGTACAGCTACCACATTGTGGTACAACCACACCGTTCTAGCAAAATAGTCAACGTGTCTGGTTTTTATAGAACATCTGCATCCATTTGTGTGCATCAAGAGTTGGAACACGTTATATGTACCTTTACATCTCATCTAACAGGTGCATGTCGTGCTTCACTACAAATTTACCAATTGAACTCTTGCAGTTAGTTTAAATAGTTAGTACCAGCTGTAAAATAATTTGGATATTGTGTTCACACTCAGACTGCTCAATGCACCTGACTTTTACCTTGAAGATAGCAAGATTAGTCTTTCTGCTCGTAGCATGTAGGACATAGCAAGTACCTGCGGCTTGTGGATATTGATTTTCCATGTGCATCCGTAAGCAACATGATTAGATTGCTAAACCATAATATTTAGAGAGAGAGAGAGAGAGAGAGGTACAGTATGTTGTGGTAGATTTGATGTAAAGCAGGCGGCTAAAGTTGGAAACAAATTGATTGTTTATGATTGTTGGGTAAAGGCAGGAAGAGGGTGTAACTATATTTGAATTGATTGTGATTATCAGGGAAAGGAAGAAAGGGTGTTAACTATATTTGGCTGGATACTTGTAATCTAAGAGAATGCCTGAAATTTGAGATTTGGGCCATCATTGAGAGAGTAATTTTGGAGCAACCTATACATGCCTTGTGAGGTTACAAGAAATTTGATAATCAAAGAAAGGAATCCACATAAGGACAATGACAGGTAGTTATTTGCATAGGATCAAAACTGTGTGACGTTATAGTTATCTATATTACTGTACATATATAACCATGTACATTTGTTCATTTGTTTGACTGAATTTTGTGTTGACTTTTCTGCTCTTCAGGTGACCAGTTTGGTATCCTGGACCATGAGTATTCTTGTTTTTGGTTTGTCTAATCCTGCACCACATATGAAACTGCTACATTTTTCTTCTAACATTAAATAACATGCAGTATTTTGGAGTTTGGAGGAACCATACTACATGACACTGGACATGTTGTGTCAGTTGTTTTTCCCTTTATTTACCTCCAAGTGTTTGATGCAAGGGTCGAGGTACCTTTCTTGAGAAGGATTTACTCCTGATTTCTTATTTGCTAGAACATACATGATAACTTTGATCCCATATATAGTTTTATGTATGAAGCAGGGGCGGATTTACACTGGGGGCACTGGCCCCCTTAAATTTCTATAATACATATAAAAATTTGATATAATTTCGAGTGTGCCCCGTAGTTTTGTGTATTCATTGATTTATATGCTCCTAAAGTTGCCTTTAATTTTACCTGTTGCTACAGCTACCGTAGAAAAGGCTTTTTCAGTTATAAATATAGTGAAAAATTGGTTACGAAATAGAATAGGAGGCATTTGGATGAATGATTGTTTAATTACTTTTATTGAGAAAAATATATTTCGTGAAATTCAAAATGAAAAGGTTGTAAACCATTATCAAAATATGAAACCTCATCATGAGCAATTGTAAATGGTTTAGTTTGTTTTTTGAAATAAAATTATTATTACATTAATAATTTTTTTATGTTTTTCATGGAATATATGCATCATTGTACTTGGTGGTGAATATTTTTTTCTTAAAAAACAAGAAAGAGAGTAGTAAAAAATTTTAGAGTTATTTTTGCCCCCACTGAAAATTTTTTCTGGCTCCGCCACTGGTATGAAGAGAGGGACATAGTGCTAATGACAACAGCCTTTGGGACCTTTCAACATAATGACTCAGTGTTTATTAACCGGAGTTTCAAGTTTAAGCTATACTGAGAACAGTGAATGCATGTTACATTTTATGGATGTACCTGAGCTTTATACGCCATCTATAACGTGCTATGTTCTTTTAATTAGAAAATCTCTCTCCTTAGGTAACTATGCTACATATACGTTGTTTGTCATGTTTTTAACTGGCTTAGGTGTCATTTTGACTGGAGTTCATGGCTAAATTATCTTTTATCCGCTTCTACTCATCTCAGAGGCTTTGAAAATCCTTAGGCTGTTGGACTGTAATTGTTCACTCTATGCTGGTAATCTGCATCAGATTTGCTTTTATTGTGCAATTGCTTTTTCCCCAGAGCAAGTTAAAGATGGTGATCAGCATGAGCGTGATTGGCAAGTTAAAGGTAATGATTTGCTTTTATTCTGCAAGTTGAAAGGTAGTGACCAGCATGAGTGTGCATTTAGGATGGTACTGGTACTCCTGCAAATAAACGGATTTTTGGATAGTTGCCATGTAAGATTGCCAGAATATATGGACTGTTGAGATACCATTCGAAAACCTGGAGATGTATATGGAATGGTAAATGATAAAAGCTACATGAAGAGTTAAGAGTGAATGATGTTGTAGCTACTATTGAAAGATCTGGAGTGGTAAATGATAAAAGCTTCTTAAGGAGTTATAGGAAAGCAGAAAATAAATAGTTTTTTTGGTTTAATTAAATAATTAAAAATAATATAAAAATATAAAAAATATAATAATATATAAAAAATAAATATTTCTTGAAAAGAGTTTTTGTGTCAAGGGAACTAATCGGCCAACAGAGTTCAGAAGCTTTGAATGTCCATGCTTCTGGGGGTGGCTGTCAGAGACAAGGGGAGACATAATATATGGACTAAAGCCTTAGATGATGGAGTTCCAGTTTGTCTAAGAGGAATATGTTTTCTGATGATCATGCTAATTTAGTAAAGGAGGCAATATGAGCATCTAGTTCAAGCAGTTGTTCCTTCTATGTGGAAGGTTCATGTGAAAGGATAGTTGAAGAGTGTTCTTCAAGGCAAATAAGTTGTGGATGGGGTTCAAAGACTGGTAAAAATATCGTCCTCATTCTGCAGAAGGTCTCACAAATGGAGATGCAGACCGATGGTAGCTGCTGGATCCAAGAGCAAACATGAAAACTTGTATTAGGTTCATAATAGTAGTGGCTGAGCTCCAATGTCCTCGCCATGTCATGACTCTCGGGCAATGTTAATCTTTCTGTGTAAAACTCAGCAATCTCGAGATGATGCTGAGAAAAGAATTGCTTATGGTAGTAACCATTCATCCCAAAATGTTGATTTTTTTTTAATCTATTTCTCAAAATCAACATGTCATTGTCAATCGGTATAATATTTGGACAATGCAGATATGGCTTTTCCTGAAGGGGCTAGATATAGAGTTGCATGATTGCGTGGTGGTTAAGATCTTCTCAGTTTGCTCTAGGTATAGATCTTGTAGCTGGAAACCTTTAGATTTTAGCTTGTCCTTTCCATAGTTTGTCTAATCTGTCTGTCTTAGCGTAGTTAATAAAGCGAAAACCAAACTTTTCTTCAACAAATTTATGTGTGCAAGTTAGGATTGTGCACTGCCGTGGAAGTCTTAGTGAATTGTTTCCTTGGAAAAGGTAGAAAATAGGAGATGGACATGCTATTATGTTGTAACAGCGACCCAGTAGAGCTTTGCCAATGGGATTTGGTCGCTGTATCTCTGTATTTTAATATGTACCTGATTCTTCATTGTTCCATGATTCGTATAATCAGCCGTTTCTTCGATATCCAAACTGCAATCTTTTTATCTCCTTTGCAATGCTATTGACATTTTCTGGGATGTCCTTTTGGTAATATTGAGCATTAATGTTTGCACAGTATACATATTCTGTATATAAACTCACTTTCCTACTCGTGTATCTGGATTAGTCTGATCAACTTTTTCACAGTTCCTGAAGAATATGTTTTTGTTATTGCTTAGATACAGGTAGATATGTCTTGCTTGCTTTCTGCTTGTCTCTTATCTTTGCCATAAACTCAAAATTAAATATGATTCTTTTCCTTGTTAGATCATTAAATTTTATTTGTATTTTGTTGTTCTAATAACTCTTGAACATTTTTTCTTTTCCCCCCAGCAATGCTACATTTCTGTTGCCTTGCTTTTTCCCAACTCGTGTCTTTCAAGAAGAAGAGGAATAGGAAATCAATCGTCCTGCATTCAAGGAAGCTGCTGATTTATCATATCCACAGCATACCCCTGGTGCAGGAGATTTTGACAATTTCAATTCCCTCCAAATGAGAAATGCCACATCTTAGAGGATGTAGATGGTCAGCTTGAAATGGGATGTGTCTGAGCACCAAAAGGATCAAAGATCATCAATGACTGGTGATGCCTCGGGGACTGATCGTAGTAATGCAAGTTTGGTCAAGATAGTCAAATCAACTCTAAGCATCCCTTTTGAATTGCCTACTGTTCCTGGGGCATTTCCTCCACAGCCTGTAGATTCTCCTGCAACGCCACCTTTGACATCCTTACTGCCTCTTGTCATCACTGCAGCCTCCACTCTCCCATTGTCTCGAGCTCCACATCCTCCGTCGCCAGCCCTATTGGAGCCACATGCAATTCTGTCCTCCTCAAGTTTTGCCTCAACCATATCTACCATCGCTGCCGTCAATGGCGTCTCAACATTTAACCTGCATCCGTGTTCAATTTTAGCCTTATCGGTGGTGGCATATCAAAATGGTCCTGTGTTTACCGAAATTGGTGGAAACCCAAGTATAAGGGTTGAGACTTTCCTTCCCTTCATACTCTAATTGCTGCTCATCCACCAGGGTTATGGGACAGCATGGATGTAAATTTTTTTTTTTTATTTATTTATTAATAGGGAAACCCTCTTACAGAATTGGTTGGAAATGCTTTTCATGGATCTCTTATTGACGAAATGTTTGCTCAGCAGGCACCTTTTGTGCCAATTGGTATAGAAAGCTCACAAGAATGCTCTTGATATTATTGAACAAGGTCTTGGGAATATGCAATTCCAACAAGGTCTTTGGAATATGCTCTTGATATTATTGAACAAGGTCTTTGGATATGATAAGGTGTGCAAATTTACTAGCTGCTGAACCCAATATGCAATTCCAGTCTGGAAATCTGCCTTTCGCTCAAAGGCCTTTGCCACCATGCCTCCAACCTCAATGTACACCAATTCATTTATCCTGTCCACTGTCCATAATCCAGCGACTTTCTCCTGCAGTTCAGTTTCATCATCTTCCAGTTCAGAATCCTCTGCCTGTTATGCAGCAACCTCCACCTCCTAATTTTGCTGGTGGACCAAGGCAATTTTCTGTTGATGAACAATGGAGGAGGATGAGCTTATTGACTTGAATTCTGATCATCGTGGTGTGTGGATGCATGGAGTGAGATCGTGTTCAGGTCCAGCTTATGCCCAGGATGGTGTGTATATATCAATTGTCATATAACATTTCAATGTGGAAAGTTTACAAGTTAATTTATCTTGTATTATTTTATATTAGCAAGCTAATATGTTATGTTGTTGGAGTAATTTTGATGCATAATGCTTACCTAGCTTTGGCTGGCTATATGATTGTTCTAAAGACCCATATCTACTAAGTAGACGTGGTCTGAGTTTTTGTTTCAGCATCAGTAGACAGAGATAATGAGCCAAAAATTACTTGGGTTTGCATTTCGCAGCTTTAATGTCAGACTATTATTTATCTGCAGTACTAGCAAATGTTTTGGTTCTGTGTTTGGAAATGATAGGATAACCCTAATGCGAAAAGATTACAGCCTTTATTGTGTTATTTTGCATGGATGTTAAAAAGGTGACTCTTGTTTGGCTTTCGGTCAAGACTATTACATGTTTTTCAGGTTTTGTTGAACTGTTTTCTGTGATTCTTTTCTTTTCTTTTTTTTTTTTAGTCAAAGTTATATTTCAATTGGTATTAGGAATCCTCATTGAACTGATTTCAGGACATTTGTTCCCTATATTCTTCAGCCCTAGTTGTATGAAGTTATAAACAATCGTTGCTTACCATGAAGTTGATTTATTGGTTTTCTTGAAGTATCCTTAGAAAGCAATATATGTCCTTTTTGGAGCAGCATTTTAGGCTAAAATTTTTAGTTGAAGACAACCATTTATAACTAATATTTGCAATGACAAAGAAGGATATTTTGAGGATGAATGATTAGTATCATTTAGGGAAACTATCAATTTTGCTCTATGTTTCTTCATTGCAGTTCGTTTGATCAACTTTTTCAATTCTATATCCTGTAAATGCAACATAACATTCAAAAATGAAAAAATAAAAAACCAAAAAGAGAAAAATGAAAAACAGGTCATTTGTGTTGGGTGTTGTCTTGTCACTGAAAATTTTGGAAGTCCAAAACAGAGTGATAATTGAACCCAAAAGAGTCACTGGAGATGGTTTAAATCATCTATAATTCTGGTGGTTGATCTTCAGTAGAAACTTGGTATGTGTAAAGTTTGGGAGTTTGAACTTGATCTTTTAGGAATTCAAACAGTATTTGTAAGCTGAAAAATTACTCAATGTTGGAAGGTGACAGTTCAACTATGTACAGTGGTCTATAGAAATAACAATGTGGACTCTTTCACATTGGTGTCAGAATAAAACCCTTTTTCAGCAGAGTAGATCACGTTCTTTTGTCTTACTCTGTATTGATGTGGACAATTCTGATAGCCTTTCATGTGGCAGTTTATCCTACACCACCTCCTGAGAAGCCCTGTATTGGTACTGCTAATTTTCAACCATTGCTCCTGAGCAGGTATCCAGGTGATTTTTGAGGTTTGATAAGGATTTTCTGACCAAGGGTATACATGAGTCCCTAAATCTTGCATTCTCAGTGGTTTGATTTTGTATTATGTATTTTTGCAGGTTGTGCTAATGACTTGATTCCTGCTGGCCATTTTTGTCTGCATTCAAAGTCCTTTGGTGAGTTTTGCTCTTTCATGGTTTGCAGAATCTTGTGGACTTGCAGCTGCTTAACCTTTCTAGATTTCTCAATATTTGAGGGATTTTTATGTTCATTTTTAAGGATAGTAAGCGAAATGGTATTGATAGTGGTTAAAAGTGAGAGAAGGGGTCACATATGCAAGAGATGCAGTGATGTGCAAACCTTACACATCTTTTTCTAATCGAAGTGAATGCAAAATATCAACCACAGTCAAAGCACGAAAATCTGTGCTTTTAAATTATGTTGGTTTTCATTGTTGTCTATTCTCTGTTTTGATCATTGGATCTCATTTTACTTTCCATTTTGACCACTGGATAAATATACTTCTTTGAGATGCTAGATGTCAAAAACATGACAAAAAAAAAAAAAAAAATCTAGTCGGTGAAAATATGTTGATCTCTTTTACTTTCCATGTCAGTGCACTGATTTTCGCAAAAAATTCATTATTTTTTAAGGAACTGTGAGATTTAACTAGCTGTAACTATCTGCAAGGATGAAGTTAATATGTAACGAACCATTGACACTAAGAGAACTGAAGCTGAAAATTGATATTTTACCTCATCAGGCTGTGTGCTGAAGCTGAATTCTCTCTAATATCCTTTTCTTTTTGTCAATAAAGAATGAACTGTGATTTACATCAAGATATGCTTTGTTTGAAAAATCATGCAATTTATTCTTAAGCCGAGGAGGTCCCTTGCATATAGTGCACTTTCTGCCTAGAACTGCTTTCGCGGATACTTGCCTGGTCCTATCTTGTACGTTTGCCTGATACTTTTTGACTCTTCAACATTTGTAATGTCTGAGCTCATGCTCCCACATCCTTTGTTTTTTAAGGTTGGAATTTGTCATCTTTCTCAGGCTGTGGGAGATCATTGAAGCTGGATTTTTCGCGGATATTCACCACCCAATGCTTATCCAACATGCTAATTGGTTGTTGACAAAATGAATGTTTTAATGATCCTCAACGGGATTCTGTATAATAATTTTTCTGACAAAAGCATTTTGAAAATATATGCTTTGAAATGTTAGCAATTTTGGTCAAGTCTTGTAATTATTCGAAATTCATTAAACATTGCTGGCACTTTTCACAATTCTTCTCCACTATGTCATTTCACTCTATCTTCGTACTTGGTTTCCGTTTCGATTGCTTGCCAGGTATTGATGCCAAATTATGAATAAGAAAGATATGGATTGTAAGTAATATGCGTATCCACATGTTTTCAGTAGGATGGATGGATGGTATTTTGTTTGTTTAATTTTTTTTCCCTTTAGTTATATCTAAAAATACACAATTTCTATTGATCTCCATCATACCCTCTGCCCCACTGTTTCTAAAGACTGATCTTTTTACTACCCCACTAATTGATCTTCGTTTGATCAAGAAACTATACAAAGGCTTGCATAGGACCCCTGAGGTCTCATCTTTTACTTGCGAAAGCTCAGAGTTAGCTACTATGTTTCTTTTTGCCCGTATGCTCACTTGAGGTAACAGTTTAGGAAATGTTTTTGCACATTTATGCTTGCGGTGCAGAGTCTGATTGCTTTAACAATGCATTTACTTGCGATACAAAGCCTGGCAGATTACACGAAACAGAGGAACAATGTCATGTCATTGTTCAACCCATGGATCAAATTGATGATGACGTTCTTATATATTGAAATAAGAAAATAGTAGTATTAGATGTTGTTCTACTACAGTTATAGTGACATTGTTTGGGGCAAAAAAAAAAGCTGTGGGCGCAGAGAGGAAGAATCTTATAGTTGGTGCAATGCGCTGTAGTTGAATTTAAATGGTCTACATCAAAAAATTCCAAGAATATAAAATTCTTGTATAGATGGTGTGACGGTCCCACCTTCCCCTAGAGCGTATCCTAGGGTTTAGCGGATCGCTTGCCCAGATCTCGTCAGGACTCACTCACTCGTATCTCAATAAAAAAAAAAAACTAAGAACGTATGTCCATCGAAAATGAATAACACATCCACCTAATATATACATTGATATTCAAATCCAGATACAAAGTTTCTACACACCAAAATACTCCAAAGTGTTTATAAATCGAGTACAATCCACCCTAGTCAGGTACTAGCGTGAGTTCATATTCAAAATTTAAAACAACTAGGCTATGCTAGTCTGTACATGTTTCATGCCTCGCTCGTACCTCCTGTAAGGAAAACAAATGGCATGAAATGAGTTAAAAACCCAATGAAGTTCCAAATAACAAATTGACCATTTTGAAAGTACGAATATCAACGTAGCAAGTTAATAGCATCAAAAGTTCATAAGAGTGAATAATAATACTTCAAATAGCAAAACTCAAAGTGAGCGAGTGTAAAAGTTTTTCAGAAGAAACAATAATCTAATAAACAATAATCATTCCAAAGTATAACGATACGGATGGCTCTCAGGAGCCAAATTCCCATCGCATCACCAGAGCTTGATCAAGTAATAGTTGATACTCCGTCAACCTTCAAGTAAGTAACCAATCCAGTAGAGCACCACTTACACTACTCTCCGTCCACCATTCACACCCCCTACTGGACCCAAAATCCTCAATAAACACGGGTGGTAATACTCGAGTATACCGATTAGTCGAGGAGATATCACTCCACTCGACATAATTAACGACCCATGGTTCGTTATCTAATCGACCAAACTCTTGCCGGCTCGACTCGATTAATTAGCTAATGAGGTTTGGGTCCCCAAGAAGTCGATGAGATAACCTCTCCAATCGACGGAATTAAGATAAAAGTATGGAGACGGGAATGAGAGGCACCTCCCACTCGGATTGAGTGTGGTACATACTGCCGTTTCACACTTACAAGTCAAGTACAAGTATATCCAGTTAATTGCAACAATAAACAAGTATAGATCATGTTAGGGCAAGTGCGATAAAGTACACTCTTGCCCGATCAACAAATCTCATATCAATTATGTACAAGTATTGTGAACAAGTGTGCAGGTCAATCAGGTATTTGGAAGCACTCACCCAAAATGCGGTGCCTTTACGAGTTACGTTCGGGTATTACTCCGTGTGCGGAGTCCAAATCTACGATAAAACATTGTTTAAGAACTTTTAAAAGTAACTAAGGTTCGAAACTTAAACGTTTCGTTCAATAAAAATCAAGAAATTGAAATTCATTTGGAGAATATTCGTGAAACACTCGCTCACTTTTCAAACTATATAACTTTGTAACATTATACTTGGAAATGTCATTTGAGTCAAAAGTGCAAGGAAAACGTATTCTGAGCAGTCATTATTTTATTTCTCAAGGGTACAAGTTCGGCCAAATCCTTACTGATATACGTCGATACAAGAAGATGCAAATATCTTAGATGGTTCAAGCAGTAATCACTCTTAACCCTTACTCAAGTTGCAAGTATGTCTACCTAACCCTTGAACGTAAATTTGGGCAGCACGCCCTTTGCATTTTCCTATTTCCAGCCATTTATGGCTTCATTCTTTTCCTCAATCAAACCCAAAGTTACACACAACACAAATTCATTTCAATAGCCGTTCAATAGTCCCAAAGTAATACAAGTACAAAAATCAAACTAACGACATGTGCGGAAATGAAGTTTAACAAAAGACAGATTTGACGGGTTTTTGCAGAATGGACACATCCGAGGCTACGCTTAACGGATTGAAGTGCAACTTATACTGTTTCGAAGCTAAGACAAAGGGCTACAACTTTGGTGAAGACCACCTAGTCTAATTGCCAGCGTAACCCAGTCAAATTCCCAATTCACAGAACCAAATTCCAACTAACCGGCTAGTTAACTGTACTACCTTCAAATGGCCATATCTCAGGCTACCAAAGTCTGTTTAAGGCGTTCTTGGAGGCGTTGAAAAACTAAGACAAAGTACTAAAACTTTCATATTTTGGCAAATGGCTAAATCAGCACGGATCATGGTGAATAGATACGGTCAATTGGATGAACTGTCTAAAACTGATCACTGGATGCATCCTAGGGTAGTGAGGGTATTTTGGTCTTTTCACAGGTTACGTTGCTCCGATTGGGCTGAAGTTTTTTAGGCAACTATAAAACATCATTCTTTACAACTTTCATATTTTATACTAAGCCTAATTCGGCCTCTAACATCACGAACTGGAACCGGACAGAACTGAGCTACAGTTTTCCAGAAATCTGAAATTTTACGGTTTCAAAGGAAATTTTCTTCATTTCTTGCTTCAATCACTACCACAACCTCTTATATAAGCTTAGATACAACATATAATATCCATACAGCAAGTATAGGCAGAAAATCCTTCAAACCCTAACTCATGTAACTCAAGAACATACACTATATCCATTCAAATCATTATAATAGCTATCATCCACCACAAATTTAAGGTGCTATGCCAAGTTAAGCAAGATTAAGAGTAAGAAATGGTAAATCAGCATTATTACCTTACTAAAGTTACTACCAAGAGCAGCCCTAGCTTTTCCTTCCAAACTTTCACCAACACACCACTAGCTAAACACTCAAAGAAAGTTTTAATCGGATTAGTTTCTTGTTTCCTCACTTAAGTGACTCAAACTCAAGATGGATTGGTGTATCTCTCCCTTGGTTTTTCTCTCCCTCTCTCTCGGCCAAAGCAAATAGAAAATGATGAAGAAAGGAAGCTAAATGGTGATAAGAAGGCAAGACAATTTGGTCTTGGTCAAGGCCCTAGATGGCCAACAAGTGGCATCACCAATTTCCACTCATTGTTTTTTTTTCTCCTTGCAAATTTGGTCAACATTTTCGGCCAAAGCTAGCTGAGAATGAGGGGATATTTTGCACAAATATTAATGAGCTTATATGGTAAGAAAGTGGTGATCAAGTGGTGTGTTCAATCGGTAGTGCACGGTACACGTCGGTTTGAGCCGATTTTTCTTAAATCGCGTATACTAGGGTTTTTACCTTCTAATCACTATCTTGTTACTATCACTTCTAATCATATAATATTTCCTCATCCAAAAGTCACTCTTACCTACCAAATTTGATCCTCACTCCGTACCGAAAAGTCATACTACGGAAAAACGTGAAAACTCTAACTTGCTCCAACTTGAAAATGAAAAGTGAAACCCTACTTTCTAGGTTCATTTGCACTTATTGTGGGGTGATTGAGTAGTAGGGCTATTATAAATTAATAATTTCCAGATAAAAGGGTATTTTTAAGAAAAACGTGAGGGTTTTACAATTCCATAAATTGAATTTAGGGTTTCGGTTGAAATGTGAGAAATTTGAGAAAACGGTCAATCACAAGTGAAACTAGGGTTTTGATTAGACTTTTAGGGTTTCTAGTCTTTTAAAATAAAACAAGGTTTTAAATCAAACCCAAGAAATAACTTTAGTTTCTTCTTTAAAACAAAATAATGTTTTTTTAAAAATAAAAATAAACTAAAGAAACCGTAATATTTTCTTTGAAACTAAACAAAAGATGATCCTAAAAGTTGGGGTATCACAGATGGGATTTGAAAACTCTCCAAAATCACTAGATGGGCGTCTGTTATGCATTAATTGACCAGTAATTGACTTTCTTTTCTTGGATTTTTTCATAAGATATATCCTAATATATTCAACTTAAAAAGGACTCAAATTAATGTTGATCAATGGATAAGGGGTCCATGAGCGTACTATGAAGGGTGACGATATTGTTAAAGTCGAAATTTTCCTATCAGAGTAAATTTTTTTTGGTAAAAAATTTATCTTATACTCTAATAATCAACAATCAATATTACTATTGACTATTGTTATGTATCTAAGAATCTCCTCTTTTTATGATGAATGATAATTCACGATCAGAGTTTTTCCTTTTAAGTCTTATTAGTCATGCACACCACACGTACACACACACATTCTAGGTGTCTAACATTTAATCTATACAGTTAAATAACATCCTTTTTTGTACTTTAGGATGCAGGAAGAAATCTGAGTTTTGAATTGGTGGCTTTAATATAAATTTGTGAAATATTTGTTGTTGCAAGGTCTTGTAAACTCGATAGATCACAAGAAACGATTTTGCTTTTGGATAGTGAACCTAGACCGATCTTGGCTTCAATCCTGACCTGCTCATTCGAACCCGTTATGAATCTTTTAGAGTTGGTCAATGTTGATTGAGTTTATTGTACCATCAAAGTGA